TCTCTATGGGATCTTTGAATGTGCTTCATGCAGGCAGTTCTCACAACGAATTGGTTCCCTTTCCATTTTTATTTTCCGATGCACTCTAGTGCCCATTTGAGTGGTCTTTTGTTCTCAGCTTTGGTATCTGCAGCCTTGTTATCGCTGTTGTTTGTTGGCATGCAGTCTGAATCATTTTGCTCTTTGCTTGAACTTTTTTTTCTCCGACTCTGGCTCCACTGTTTGAATCTGCTACAGGTTTGCCCACTACATCTTCGGAGTTAGCCCGACGCCTTTTGGATCTGCCTTTACCAAATTCTTCCGGTCGCTCTTTGATTGACCTTTCGAAGTCATTCCCCAGTGTGTGTTGGTTCTTTTGCTGGTTTCCTGCTGTAGCTTTTCCATCTTTTTCTTCTGAGCAATGGAATCTTAGACTTCTTTTGGGTTCTTTTGGTATTTAAGTTCTTCTTGTTCTCTTATGGTGCCTAAGTCCCACAAGAGGTCCTTTCTTGCCTTCTCCTCTCGAATGATTTTTGAGTCGTTGAGAGGGAAAAATGGTATTTTGCAGATTCGATGTCTTCGTAGGAGCTGTGATAACCCTGAGTCCTGTTTATACGCGGGGAAGCATGTGCGAACGTACGCTGTTTGGTATACTTCCTGCCTGCCAGTGAAACTAAGTGGTAAGGTCCAAATCGGCGGATACAGACTGTACGGGAGTTGCAGCCTGAGATGCAAGACAGGGGTTTGGGTTGGGTCCGTCCCTTTCAGGGAATTCCTCTCACTTGACAGCCTTCAGCTGGATCTTCCTAAACTAGCTAAGTGTCTTTAGCATTCTTCTGCTGTGCAGAAGCTCTGGATGAATATTCCAGTTCTTTTCAGGTGATCTCAACGGATCTGTTAACATTTTATAGGGGACGCCGGGCCTGCTTCCCAGCATGCGACGCTCCCCACGACACAGATGGTTAATAGATCGGAGCAACATTCTTGTTAAAAAAAAAAAGGAAAGAAAAAAGATTTGTATTTTGTAGGGTGACCAGATTGCTTAGATGCTTCTTTCAGATGCCATCTGCTGTCAGCTGGTGGGAACACATCTGTTCTTTGGTTAGAAGTTCTGTCCTCGACCGCCATAAGTGGGGTGTGAGATCAAACACAGAGCTGGAGCTTACTCGACTTCCATCAGCATGTGAGGGTGGAACTTGCATTCGTTTTCCTGAGTCGAGAATTTTGGACATTGGCTACCTGTCCCCAGATGACCACTTTCTCTGAAGCGAAAGCAAATCGGTGAGGGTTTAGTAGAAATGGTTAGAAAAAAATGCACGTCTTCCTTACATGCTGATTTCCCATGAGTTGGGGAAGGGAGGTCGTCTATTTTAACTTCTAATATCGTTGTCATGAAACCACAATGCAGTGAGAGAAAGTCAGGAGTAGGCAGGATCAGTTTCAATATCCTGTTTACTGGGTACTGTAATGACCTGCCAAACACGGACTGAGACACACAGCTGATTTCTGAGTTTTGCTCATGGAATGCCTCGCTGAGTATCCCGCCTGTTGCTGAGTTTTCTAAGTCTGTGTGTGTGCGTGCTTGCTGGTCTGCATGCCTGTCTGAGTGCTTGTCAGCTTGAGTGTGTGTGTGACCCGTGTTCGTTCGGAAGGCCCGAAGGGGCCGGTACTTACCTGTGGCTGTGACATTGAGGATTGCAGCAGGGGAAAACACTCAAGCGGCCAGTGTAGAGTGAACTGACCAATTTCCTTCCTCCATCATACCCACATTCGGCCATCTCCTTCCGACCGCACCTGGCGCGAAGATGCGTTCAGATCCCCCTTTCTCTCTGTTAAGTGCCCCTTCCAACAATAGCCGCTTCCAACACCCCTCGCCCCCCCAAGCTCAGCCGCTCTTCTCTTGTTAGCGCAGACAACCGACCGGTCCGCAGCACTACTCAACGACCCGATCGGACAGCATCTCGAAGAAAAAATTGACACTAAACGACCCGATTGGTTTTCCCCGCCCTTATACCCAAACCCAACGACCGACTCACTTGGCAGCATTGCAGCGGCCTCTGTCACAGCGCCCTCGGCTTCACCCCCCCTTTGACAAATACCGTTCTGATCTGACCCACTTTCTTCTGATAGGTTCCGGATGGCCAAACCTCACCCTCTTCGTATCGCTCCAAATTTCTAGCAGATTTCCCCAAGGACAAGTGCGGGCCAGTAGTCCCGACTTCCCCAAATAAGTTTTTGCCCCTATACCGAAGCCTGTTGACTTGCTGCCTCTTACCACTGTGGCTAACGCCCCAGTGTTCTGGTTTTACTCCACTCATCCAACAACCAGTTCCCACACAAATAGCTGGTCGCGGAGCGGCCTGTAGCAAAGCCTAGCGTGGGCCTTGGTAAACGGACCCTGGTGCAGATATTGGTGGTAGTAGCAATTTTGTTAAAAATAAAAACTTGGAAGATCAAAACGGCGGAGGGTTCCACGTGCCCAGCCCACCTTGAAAGAAATACCGAAAAAAAAATAGTAATATTTAAAAATTAAGTGGAAATAATACATGCGGAAGATTAGAAACGAAGCCGTAAGGCGAGGAAATAACTTCGGCCCCACGGCAGAAAAACCATGGGGGATAGCCTCGCCGGGCCCTCGACCCCATGGTTCCTTCGCGCCGCTCCGGTGCTCCCGCGTCTCCACTCGCTGGCTTCGATCCCTGAATTTCCTTTATGGAAGCCTGATGCTGTGACCGGTAGTGCTAGGCCCAAGGCTGGGTCTAGTTTTGGCGAACACCTAACTAAGCAGATACTGCACGACACGCTGATCTACCGAAACGTTTCTAAATTACAAAGGTGTCGATGCCGCCTTCAGCATGTGTGCACAAGTCACAGGCGAGCGCACCAATCATAAGACAAAAATTTTTGAAATCCTAGTTTAATCAGAAATAAAAATTTGGCCAGCGATCACGCCGGTTCTTCAATCATCAACAAAATAAAACGATCACGTGCGCCTCAAGTTTGCACGCCCACACACTCTCTACTCTAATCAACCATCCAGCCAACGTAAACCACAGACGCAGCCGCGCCTCGCGCGGAATACTTAACTTTAAACCAAACCTATTTTCTGTCGCTTGCAAAAACCAGGGCGGATACCCTTGTAAGGGTATTCGCACCGATAACTTACCGGACCATATTAAGCGACGTCCCCGTCGCTTCGCAGAATTAAAAGCTATCAACTCATCCATAATCCAAATTGCTGACGATAAAGAAACCAATCCGATTAGCCGACAGACTCTGGTTCGAGGCCTGCAACAATCCACGCCAATACAACTGTATGCTGCCAAATTCTAACCTGGGTCTCCATAGCCCTGACATAAGGGCGCCGGGATATTAGCACTATACTACAACATAAGTTCCAACGACTTTCTCAACTGTCCTCTCCCCTTTGTCCTAGACAAATGTCGGCTTCTCGTTAAGTGTCCTTAGTCTCTACCCTGCTAGCAGGGCCATAACTAGGGACGCAGACCCTAACCGAGACCTTTGAAGAAATTCCTGCCTCCCTCCAACAATTCTCATAAGCGCACGTATATATATACATAAATTATATCTTAGACTCTTCCTGCAGTCTAGTACAGGAAGGCCAGGTCTCCATCTTGGCCCACCGTAGTCCGGGCGATCGAACCAGATCTACGGCCCACCACGTTGTAATTTTAGAGGTCGTGCCCTCGCAGGTTGCGCCACGATAGGCTTTCTGCTCATAAGCATTCAATCAGGACTCCAAAAAATGACTCATTTGACTCGACTCTTATCCCACGTCGTTCCGCAGGAGTAAAGCCCTCCTAGGCGGCCACACCCTTTAAGTCTTTACTCCTTTGGCAAAACGCAGACCCACTGTTCAGGTTACGACAATCAGCAGCCAACACTGAGGGTTGCGCCTCAGTGATGTCAATTTTACCCCTAGTTGGGTCTCTCATAAATGCCCTAAGATTAGCACAAGTGGTTGGACAATGTGTCGCAACAATATAGGCCTACTGCGGGACTACGCAAAGGTGATAGTGTATTCGTGGTGATGCGACGACATTGCTCGTGGTGATGTGGCGAAAAACCCCGCATTACGGGCCTTCCATTAACCATCTCTAGCTGTGTGGCATGAGTGGAGGATTGGTTTCACGCATACAAGGAGAGGAGGGACCTAGGGGAGAAAGGTGGGAGAAGTGGGAGGAAGAAAAAGGAAAGTTCAGGGAGAGGTGGATGGATTGTTAGTGTATGAAGAGATATGGTTGGAGGGCTACGCTGGGGTGGTGTCCTTACGAGAAAGATGGTCACATTGGGGTTCGATGAGTTGGAGAGTGAGGAGTGAGTGTTAGCAGCCTTCAGTTGTGGTGATTCATCAAGTCAATAGTAGTAGGCTGTGGCATGGTCTCACCTACATGAATTGGGTTGCATCCCGCTTGTTCCCGCATGAAAGAAGTCACCAAGGAAGGGAAAGATCCGGTGAGTTTGTGAGTTTGTAACCCCTTGTGCACTCGCTCCTCATGATGACTCTGGACTTAGAGACAAATGTGTAATTGTTCACAGCAATCTGTGTTACGAAGTAGCCCATTACGCGCCAGATAGGAATCGGGTTGGAGAGGCAGTGTGAGATGGTGACATGGAGTGTAGTGAGAGGTCTGCATTACAAGTTGTCGAAGATAGGTTGATGACATTGTAGGGTGGTGCATAAGGAGGAGAGCCCAAAGGGTGAAGAGGGAGAAGAGACGTATACATTGAATTTCTTAATCACATTCTTGATTTATTCTTCTTACTCTAGTACTCCATCTTGTCGGTGTGACATTATTGCTATCCTTGCGAAGTTGTCATTCATGCAGTTTTGAGTACATGTTATGGTGATGATGGTGTGAGCTTTGGGAGTCGAGTTCATTACAGTATGTTGGTCTGGTGCAGTTTGGCCATTGGTCTGAAATTCTGTAAAACACAAGCAATGCAAGGGATGGGAGGGCTATGGTGTATGTAAACAATCAAAAAGGCACAAACCATACCTTCTGAGCTGCAGGCTGTTGAAGTGAATGCGTTATGTCAGCAACCTGAGTGATGTCCCAAACACAGCAAGGATATGGATTACATGAGTCACACTTAGTGAAAACTTTGCCCCCCACCGAGTCTGCAAGTAAAGCACAGACATCACCTACAATTCTTCATTTCACAATATTGTCCTAGATCCTAGAGAGGATTGGTACCAAATGGCCGTCCACACTCATGAGTCATGGCACACACACACACACACACAAACACACACACACACACACACACACACACACACACACACACACACACACACATACACACACACACACACACACACACACAGAGAGAGAGAGAGAGAGAGAGAGAGAGTCACAATAGCACTGACAATCATGTAACTTACCACTGGGCAGTCGGCATCACGCATCCACACAAGGTTGCGTGTGTCAACAATGAGATCACCTGCATACAACCAGAGTCAAATGGCATCTGTCAGATTCAGGAATTGAACCAACAACCAATAGTTCAGGTATGACAGAAAACTGACAAGAATTACGATGTAATGAACCGCAAAAACAAAGACTGAGAACACTGCTGATTTCTGAGTTCTGCTGCTGGAATGGATACCTTGCTGAGATTCCCGCATTCTGCTGAGTTTTCTAAGTCTGTGTGTGTGTGCGTGCTTGATGGTCTGCATGCCTGTCTGAGTGCTGGTTGGCCTGAGTGTGTGTGTGACCCGCAAGCGGCGCAAGGTACTTGCTTGTTTGGAGGCCAGTAGGGCTGGTACTTACCTGTTTTAATTCTGGTTGTTTGGTGTCTGAAGACCAACACTCACTCACATAGATTTCCAGGTATGCCCATACATACACAGAAGGAAGGGGAGAGGATAGGAGTATCACACCGCACAGGGAGAGATAAACACAGCGGAAGACTTGACCATGCGATATGACAGGGTACATTGAAAGTGCAATTCACTCCACTCAATCCTCACAACCAGTCATAAAGAAAAGCCGAGTAGATCACATCCAGGAAACAATGAAACGATGATAGTCCAAACCCAGTTACGCACTGTTTATTAAACTCAGAGTCTCGAATTGTCAGCATAACTTCAGAACTACAGTGCACTGCTCAGAAATGAGCAGCGCTTCACTCCCCAACCCTGAATAACCACCCGTGACACCCCTGAGCTCCTGAAACATCAAGCGCCACCCTGATACAGCCTCCAAAGGGAAGCACCACCCTGAAACAGGCCTCTGAGGCCAAGCGCCACTCAGAGGATGAAGAAGAAGACCGGCGCCACAGTATCTGATGATGACGAAGTGTCGGAAGACTTCCCGGGTGGAAGTCTGCAGCAGCGCCACCAAACCCTGACAAGATGACCTCTGAGGAAGAAGCTGCAGCTATGGCTGCAGCGCCACCACCCTGGAACCCCACTCCGGAGGAGGGTCCAGCAGGGCACCAACCTCTCTCGCCTCCAGCAGACCTCGATAGCCCAGACCTCTGTCAGCCCCTGCGTGCTGGCAGAGTACAGCGCAGGTCCCAGCTATGGTCGGCGCTCCGAAGGTCTGGCTATGCCTGTCTCCTTCCATGCTGAGCCGTCACCACTTCCGGTTCACGCGTAGCGCAGCAGCGATGTACTCGGTACCAACTGCCAAAAGCCCTGAACCGATGTGCCCATTCTATCTATAGACTAACCTAGCCTAGACTCGACCTAGACCAGACTGACTGACCGACTGGTACTGTTTCTGTTTCGGCCTCTCGGCCTCTGCCGGACCCCCGGCTATAGGTTATAGGACCGTCTATCAGAATGGGCCCTTGGGGCCTGTCTGTCCGAGGGGTTGCCCGGGCCTGCTATTCGTAGTTAGGGTAGCTGTAGGGAATTCTGTTAGTACCGGGCCTGCGTTTTTCCCGAATTTGCAGATATGTCCCTCACGAATTTCCCTCACAGGTAGGTCGCTCGGTTAGCTCTCAGCCAAACAAAATTACGGATCTATCCTACCTATAGTACAGCCTCGACAGAGAGAGGCTAAAGGCAACCAGAAAACAGCAAGTCATTGCATACCTGTGGCTGTGACATTGAGGGTTGCAGCGGGGGGAAAACACTCAAGTAGCAGGTAGGCCGGTACCACACCAAGTAGAAGTAGATGTGCCGGGTACTCGAGGTCGAGCAGAAGAAGACAAACGCTGGCATTTTTTAGAGGCCCAGTAGTTGTAGGCTAGGTCTAGGTGGATACCAGTCCAACCAGTCTGAGTCTAGGGCCTGTACGGGCAGTATCAGAGTCTGCAATAATGTTTCCCTCCGAAAGGGAGGAGGTACAGGTTGCTTGGAGGCTGCGCGGCCTACGAAGTCAAGGCCCAAGAGGCAAGTAGGCCGCTATATCTCCAGGAGGAGCACAGTCCTCCTCCTCATTCTTCGGTGTGCAAGTTTGGCGACACACTGCTTGGAGCATTGGCTGGAGGAGCGCTGGGCATTTCAGCGCTGCTAGGAAGAACGAGACCGGGAGCTCCCACCTCGGGTATGGTGGAGCTCTATTGGTAGGAGGAGGAGGAAGAAGAGGACTGAGGAGGAGAGTGGTGAGGTACCTATCTGGCTATGGTGGGCACCATCTTCATCACCTTGTTAGGTGCTGCATCTGGAAGGCCCCAGTTGGGGTTGTGCTGCACCAGGAAGGCTTCAAGGCGGGGTCATAGCTGCTTTGTGTTGTCCTTTGCACAACAGGGCGAGGCCCCGGTAGTCAGCCATAGCCTTGGCCTACGTGAAGAGGAAGAAGAAGGGTGGCCATGGCTATGGTGGACCTCATGTTCTGCCTGCAGTAGAAGAGGGATTCGGACATTGATTCTGGTTCAGCCATTCAACATTATTATTATTTATTGTTTGAATATAAGGGGAGGAGAAAAGGAGGAGGCGAGTGGTTGGCGAAGGAGAAGGGAATTATCATTGGTCTTTGCTGGTGTACATCTTCTTCTTCTTCTTTCTTTCATCTTCTTCTTCTTCTTCTTTCCTTCTCTCTCCTCTCAAGTTCATTCATTTCCTTTTGAAATTGGACGGCATTGTACTTTCTAATGAATGTGCACTTCGAAATTCGCCAGGATCGTAACAACTATAAAAAAATTGCAAGGAGGAAGGCAAAGAGAGACAGTTGTGGCAAACACAGTCTGATGCCTGGGAGGGAGCAAGTGAACAAAAAGGACAGAGCTTCACTTCTTGATTCCACAGACAATCATGGCTTGCCAAATCTTCAAAACCACATAGCCGCATCAAAGAAGTTCAGATTCATCCTGAAAACCTCATGCATACATCCAAGCCTGCTTATGTGGAGACTCGGCAGTCATCCTCAACACGTTTCGCTTGCTGAACACCAGCTCTTCAGAATGAAGACCAACAAAAGCAGAATGTGCAAATGCTTGCAAAATTGTCGATGAAGAGAATGATCCACCATTTAACCAGCTACTGCATATCAACCTGTGTATTTTCAAGGAGGTTATCAACTGGGGGAAACCACAGTAAGATGCAACCACCTCATAATATCACACTGCTAGCAACATCAAACGTTTACACTTCAACATGAAAAGCTCCACACACGAGATACAAGCCAACACGATATGAGCACACTTTGGACATCGCTTGAAAATTCAAAGTCTTGTACATCAAAGTCTCATGCGTGCACACTCAGGTGGCTATGGCTGCCGGGAAACTCGAACAGGTATGCCTCTCCCTCTCTCTCGCTCATATCCTAACTACCCTCAAGCCTTTCTCTTCCTCTCTCGATGTCCTCCTCGTTTCTCACTCTCTTGCCAGCTCAAGCTCTACAACTGTGGCACCGGGCGCCGTTGACTACGCTACTGGACTCCCTCTCAGTCTTACTTGATGCTTGACTACACAGTCGCAACAGCGCTTCTGCGACACAGGCTCGGGAAAACATTGTGTTGTCTCTTGGCTTCGCTCCAATGGAAAACTGAGTTGTGGCAATGTGAAAGCGAACGTGAGTTTGGTTGACATCTGACACAAAGCGAAACTGGGTAATGCTCCCAGGGTACTCCCGGGTTTATTGTGAGGTCCCAGCCTCAGTTTTATATAGGTAATATAAAGCCAGCCCTAGGTGATTCAGGATTGTAGTATTTTACTCATATGCTTCCAGTGGAGTTCGAACTCGACTGTATTTCAACAGTTCAGGGGTGTACCAACTGAGATAGGCCAGTTGGTTGGAAACTTTTCTTCAGACCTGGATCCCACAGCTTTCCGTGAAGCCGGACTTTCCTGGGACTGAGCTGCTGATGGGACTGGCCTAACAGGCAACTGACTGACCAGGCCTATCAGCCTACTGGGAAACCGGTCCTATAGAGCTACTGGTACAGAAAGGGTCTACAAGTTCTATCAGACCTAAAAAAATGGGTGCAAGGGGGTTGGATTTATCACCAAGATGATCATAAACGGCCAGTTGATACAGGAGGACAACTAGAGGCTCCAATCTCTGGAAGAGAGATGCGAAATAGGAGAGCTGGCAGAGAAGGCGTAGAGTGACAATATCCAGACCAAAAGAAGGGAGAGGAAAAGGGCCAACGGACCTTAGCAGAGACAGGAAGAGCACAACAAAAATAGGGAGACGATAAGCGAGGGAGAGGGAGACAGCCAGAAGGGAGCCATCGAAGTGGAGGGCCAGAACCCAGCTGGATCGAGACGGTGAAAGAGGAGACTGGAGGAAGCAGGCACCCAGGAACAAGACCCCAGGGAAACGGGGAACGATGAGTTCTCAGAGGAGAGTGAGGCGGACAAGGGGGAAGCAGAACGGCTGCAAAAGGAGGTTCAGGGGCTGGAAGGATCAGGGAGATAGAGTTTGAGCTCAACATGGCCCACCACAAATATCAAGGGAAGGTCACACAGGCCAGGGTGAGCGGCAAGGTGTTAAAACAAAATGGGGGTCCACCTGAGAACAGATTTGAGACCTTGCGAAGAGAACAGGAAGTTTCAAATTTCTAAGCGCAGTCTCAAGACCAGAACAAAAGGCAACACAATTCAGATACACAATCACCCCTATGGTAGACTGATCCAATGGCCTAAGAGCTACAAAGAGGAAACAGCTTATACGACCAAGCCAAGAAAGAGTAGCAGAAGAGGGAGCAACCAACCAAGCCAACCTGCGCACATGCAGACTAAGCACGCAGGACAAGGGGAACCTTCCACGAGGGAAGACCTGCTCAGGTGAAAAAGCGTAATCAAAGCGACGGTAGCCTTGCTGAAAGACAAAAAACAGGGACAAGGAGAACTCTCATTTGACCATATAAAAAAAATTGAAGACGGCAGAAAAAGGAAATCGAAGCGGCGGCAAGGGTGGATGTCAGAAGAGGGGAAAATAAAAGGATCCTGATCCCCTGCAAGTGGAATAGCCAGCATGAGGATTGGGGAGATGTGGAATTCACATCGGGGGCGCTCAACACTGCTCAGGCAAGCGAACTCACTGATG